ATACACTTGAAAACTATTTGATATTTTAAATCAAAAAAATAAAAATAAATATAAATATGAATAATTATATATATATTATCATATATATATATTATCTAATTTCTATAGATATAAGTTCATACTTTTCAGAATATAAAAGTAGTTATATATATATATATATTTGCTTGCCTGTTACTTCAAAAGTGTTTCTTTTTCTATGTTTTAAGATTCATTATGTTTTTCACATTCATTAATCTGTCAGTAGTTTATCATGGCCTGCCCATTTTGGGCTAGCCAAGCCTGTACAAAACTCTGAGTTAATAGCCTTTTCCAAAGCCATTCCCATGCACTTGTTGGTGGCCTTTCCCAAAGTCTTTTTCCATGGGGTGAGCCTTTTCCAAAGCTCTTCAGCAGGGTGGGCCCAGTTGCCTTTCCAAAGCACTTGTTTCATGGCAAGGGAGCCTTTTCCAAAGCTCTTCAGCACCAAGTGGACCCAGTGGCCTCTTCCAAAGCCAAGCTAGATTTCCTCCAGCACGTCCAGGTATGCCTGCACAGCTTCAGCCAAATCCTTGAAGACAATTTTGGCTGGTGTATTGCTGTGCTGGGTCCACTTGGTGCAAATTGCATGTGCCATGATCCCATTGGCATGGCACTCCTGGATGATCTCATTGCAATCATCAAAGATTGCATGAGCACCCAGCCAGTTGCACCAGTCAGCTTTTCCTCCTGGGCCCACCCTTGTCCAGCAGGTGTGGACACCTGCTAGCTTTTTATAGCAGGGCAGGGTGGTGACATCCTTCTCCACTGCCAGCTGTCTCACCCTGGTGTTCACATAGGAGAGGGTGTGAACATTGGCATGTTCCAGGAGGGAATTCAATGCCCTGACATTTTTTCTGGCACACAGCCATTGATTTCGATTGTATGGTGCCAGTCAACCACCACTGTTGGTTTCTGTTTAGGGGCTTCTTTGAGGACAATGCCAGGCTTGTTGTCCTTTTCCAAAGACTTGTCATGGTTTCTCTTTTGCCCTGTCTTCCCCTTGACCTCCACCCAGCCCTCATCTGCTCCTTGACTTCCTTGAGGCTTTCAGCCTTGCCAGGTTTGGCAACTCTGGTCCTCCTCACTTCTTCCTTTGTGACACCCTTTTCCAAAGATATCTTGTCAACACCCTTTTCCAAAGATGTCTTGTCAGCACCCTTTTCCAAAGATGTCTTGTCAGCACCCTTTTCCAAAGATGTCTTGCCAGCATCCTTTTCCAAAGATGTCTTGCCAGCATCCTTTCCCAAAGGTGAGCTGGAAGAAGCACTGCTTGACTTGGTGCTCTTTTTGCTGAGCTTTCTCTTGCCAGTGGGCTGGGGGCTGGGGCTGTAGGAGTAGTAGGGGTACTCCTCCTCAGTTTTTTGGTCCTTTTCCAAAGACTCTGTTCTTCCCATTGGAGGTGTTTTCTCTGGGCCCTTCGATTTTCATGTGTTGTTCCAGACCCTGAAGGCTCCCACTTGCAATCCCAACCTTCATAGCCCCACTTGTTGGGTTTGTATGCCATGGCTGTGGCTTTCCCAAGCCAGGCTTTTCCAAACCAAAAACCCTCCTACCTCCTACCTGGACCTACAAGGGTGATGTGTGTGTGAAGGTGGAGTCTGTGAAAAGTGTAGTTTGTGAAAACTGGAGTCTGTGAAAAGTTGAGTGTGTGAAAAATTGCACTTGTGGCTGGACTGTGTTCCTGACATGTGTAGGCGACATGGTGGTGTGTAACCTAGCCCTAGCTGAGAAACAGCTGCAGGTAGAAGACTCTGGGGAGGTGTTGCAAAACAGAAAAGGTTGGTGAAAACCCACATGGAAACATAGGTGTATGGGTGTATGTGTTTGCATATATATATATATTCTTAAATATACCTGTATATATATTGGTAAAGTTTCAAAACAAGTTTTCATGGAAAGTAGGGTACATTCCCAACTATATATTATCCATCCACCCATCTACCTACCTGCAAATCAGTGGTTCCAAAACAAGTTGTGGCTGCCAGCATTTTTCTCTTCCAAAAGTGCTTTGTTTGGCAGATCCCATGTTAGGATTGCCAGACTACAGCTAGCAAACAAAACTTGGCCTTTTCCAAAGCCCAGCAGCAACACTTTCCCAAATGCAAGCTGCCTAGCAGCCCCATTCTTTGCACAATTTTTCTCTGAGGTCTAAAGCCTCTGCTTTTGTGAGGCAATCCACCAAAGATGTCCAGATTTGATCAATGATTTGGTTGTAGCCATCTGGGCACCTGTTGGCAGTCACTTCTACTATCAATCTCAATTTGCCATCTGTGTCTTTGGTACCAAGTAGGTAAGCTCTTTGAGGGTTCTTGCCCTTTGTTTTCCTATTGACCCATTTTTTCCTCTCTTCCTTTTCCAAAGAAGCTGTTTCCTTCTGCATGTTTTTCTTACCTGCTTTCTTTGGCTTCTTCTTTCCGACATTTTTTCTTACTGCCTTTTCCAAAGCATCAGGTTTCTTTTTTGCTGCTTTCCCAAACCCCAAAGCCTGATGCAACTCACCCTGGAAACCCCTTGCTGTCCATGGTGACATCACTGTCAGTCTTTTTGAGCTTTCTCTTTTCCAAAATAGGCTCAAAAGGCACCAGTGCAGTGCATTCCTCTGCAGCTTCCTTCGTCATATTTTTTGCCTTTTCCAAAGCATCCCCAGCACCCAAGAGCATGAGCCCATTCTGGAGCTTTTCATACTCCTCCCTGGTGAGCTTGGCTGCAGCTGCAGTCAAACTCTCCCTGCCAAGTTTTCTAACATGGAACAGGATGGTGCTAATTCTTTCCATTTTCAAATTAGCCCACACTTGGCCTGAGTGCCTTGTATTGTTGAGCTGTGGGGCTTCAGCAAACAAACTTATCAAGGCAGTCCTGAGAGGCTGTGTGTGGATTTCACCAGAGCTCTCCAGCTTCAGCAGCCCTTTCCACAGTGGCAATGTTTTCACCAAGCCTTTGGGATATGGTGAATTGTTTTTGCTGGCATGTTCATAGGGCCCCAGGTCTTCCAATGTCTCCTGTTTGTACACCAGGCCACTGCCAACATAAGGCTTTGAAGAATGCCTGGCCCCTCCTCTTCTTTGGCTTTTTCCAAAGCCATCTGCTTCCCTGCCTGCTGTGGCTGCCGTGCCCAGAACCTGGCCTTTTCCAAAGCCAGACTGTTTCTTATTGCAGCTAAATGTAAGCTGAAGCAAAAATGCTGCAGCATGGTAAGTAGCAGTGCCAGGCAACAGGCTTTCAAAACAAGGAACATGATTTCAAAAAAATCAAAAGAAAAATCAAAAGAACAACACAAAAAAAGGAATTTTCCATTTTGATTTTCCCAGTTTTTAGGAAATCAAAAAGAACTTGGGTCCATTTTGATTCTAATCAAAAAGCGGTGCTCAGGGTAATATGATATGATACAATAAAAAAGATATGATATATAATATTTAAAATATAATACACAATAAATAATATTAAATATATAATATGGTATATTTAAAATGTAATATATATATATATAATACACAATATTACATAATATGATATCATATGTTTTGATATAAAAATATATTGGATTTGATATAATATATTACATACAATATATTTGATTTGATATAATATATAGTATATATAATATATAATATTTGATATTCTTTAAAATAAAATATAATATATGTTTATATTATATTATAGATACTTTGTTTAAATATAATCATATGTACTATATAATATGAAATATGTCAAATATAATTTTTGATATTTAAAATAGAATATAAAATATAAAAATAAAATATAGAACACCTAATGTATAAAATATAGTATATAATATAATATAAAATATAAAATATACAGTGTAATATAAAGAAATAATCTATAATATATAATATTTTAAAAAATAATGTAGAATATTTAATTTCAATATATAATATATAATATGTAATATGTAATATGTAATTTCAAAAATATAGTATAATAAAACATATAAAATAATATAGTTATATATAAATAAAATATTTAAACTATACAATGTAATATGTAATACATAATTTAAAATAGTGTAAAATAATATAAATAATATATAATAAAACAGCATAATATAATATAATATAATACAATATAATATATAGATATTACTTAATATAGGATCATATTTGATATGGTAGCAGTTAGACTTGTCTAATAGCTGTTTATAAACCTGACCTTGCAGCCTTCTTTAGAAGGTGTCCCCCCCAAAAAAATATGCCTTGGGCATTTTCAGATGTCAACCTCGGTGACAATGCTGTTACCTGAAACCAAATGCATGCTTCCTTTTAAAACAGTTTGACACGTTGAGTATATATATATATTCACACTACATGCCATGCACGCATATGTACTGTGTATATTCTATGAATCATGTTCACCGGAACTCTCACTCTCAGCATGGGTTATGAATTTAATTCGTGTGGCATTTTACAACTCAAGATGCAGGGTTGGGTAGGGAGGGTCACCTTATGCATAGATGAAATTTTTCATGAGAGGATCTGCCATTACAAAAGGGAAGGTGGCATTCAACAATCCTATTTGCCTGGGTTTTTCATCGCCGTCATCTCTTGACAATTTGTGCCGGAGCCTGTGTGGCTTCCTTGGCGGCCTGGGTGCAGCTGCCATCTTATTTTTGGCTTGGATCCTTTCACAGTAAATTGCAGTTGCAGTGCTTTGCATGCTACAGTTGCCAGTGGATTTGGAACGATTCACACAGCGACTTCATCTCAGTGGTATTTTTGTGCGTGACATTTGGATCAACTTCGAGGTGTCTATTTTGATTGCTGCATATCTTGACAGTTTTTCACAGACACGGCTGTTCATTTCGTGCCTGGTGATTCAGGTTGATCGCACTGACGTGGCCTTGGGAGCGACGTCCATTAGGTTGCAGTGCCATTCTCAGCCTTGGACTGTTCCTACACCGCCATTGCAGTCATTTTCATTGACATCCTCTTCATCAGATTCTGTGCCTCCTGATTTTGGTTTTTTCGATGGACCTGAAGCGTAAGAGGGATGGTTTAACTGATGATTTTGCAGATACCACTCAGTTTTGTATGCATGCACGTCACTGTTGGATTTCAAACAATGTCAGCACTGCCAAAATGCCTTGGCATTTCCGTTTAATGGACAACTTGGACATTTTGCAAAGATCTCAAAAGAACCTTTTTCGAACTATGGGAGCTATGCCACCGCTTCCTGCTTTGGAAGGGTCAAATGAGGGTTTGCCGGACAAGTTGAGCAGGCCTGGACTGGATGATCCTAACTTCAGTACGAAAGCCTTGCAAAACGCACAGAAACGTTCATGGCAAGATCAACTGAACTATGAACGGAAATGCGCCTACAGAAAGTGGATTAGCATTGTTTCTTCCAACCCTATGGCATTTGAGGTGGCGAGGCAGCAGATCTTGTCTGGCCCGATGGAGTTTGCCAAAGGAGGGTTGGCTGAATCGATCGGTGACTCGTTGGGAAACAAGTCATCAAGCACTCTTCACTCGAGGGCTGGTCCGTTGCCGAGATTTTTGAAATTTTGTGCTGACAGGGACCTGAGGGCTTTTCCATTGGAAGAGTACAGGGTTTACGACTATGTCAAGTCGGTTGCTGACACGGCTCCGAGTTATCCGCGGTCTTTCATGCTGTCCATTAGTTTTGCAACACGTGTTTTGGGCTTGCTTGGAGGCCTCGAAGTTTGCAGTTCGAAGAGGATTGATGGTGCAGTCAAGTTGCACTATGAGAAGCGTGCAAAGGTGCGACAACGTCCTCCTTTAACTGCAGACCAGGTCAGAACCTTGGAAAGGGTTGTCACCAGTTCCAACAAGAGCGTTTACGACCGGGTTATGGCTGGCTATTTTCTCATGTTGTTGTACGGCAGACTGAGATTTTCTGATGGCCAACGTATCACTGGGATGCGCTTGGAGTTGGTGCACGTTGATTCAAAGCCTGTGGGGTTTTTGGAATGCGCTGCTGAACGTACAAAGACCAGCATCAGTTTGGAGCGTAAGGTTAGATACCTGCCAATTGCCATACCTGTCCAGTGCTTGACCGAGCCTGCATGGCTTCCTGTTTGGGATAAGCTACGGGCTGAACAAGGTTTGATGGCTTCTGGAAAATCTGGTGGAAACTTCCCTGTTATGCCTTCTCCAGCAGTTGGTGGTGGTTGGTCTCAAGCTCAGCTGAATGTGACACCAGCAGGTGAGTGGTTGCGGAATCTTTTGAAGAACACCGAGACTGTTGGTGATATCAGGGTTGCAACTCACAGCTGCAAAGCAACCCTTTTGGCTTGGAGCGCCCGTGCGGGTTTTGACCATGACGTCAGGAGGCTGCTTGGGTATCATAGCGGATCAGCCGATCAATCTATGCTGGTGTACTCACGTGATGCTATGTCCCATCCACTCAGGCTTCTTGTGGATCTCATCGGCAAGGTGGCCGGTGGCAGCTTTGACCCTGATCTCACGAGGTCAGGCATGTTTGCCCGTGAGGCAGGCGCTTTGCAGGATGCTGGGGATGACATTGACTCATCGAGTTGCGGTTCAGAAGACGAGGATGACAGAGATGTTTATGAGGAAGAACAGGCGATCGAACAGGTTGCTGGTGCTTGGCAACCGAAACATGTTGAGCCCGACAGTTTGCAGGTATATGTCCGCCATGCCACTTCACGTTGTCTGCACAAAATCATGGATGAAGCTGGAACCCACCTGGCTTGTGGCAGGGCAATGTCTCCCCGGTATGAAGTGCAAGGAGAGCGACCGAAGTTCCTCCACCCGTTGTGTGGCACCTGCTTCAAAGACCATTTGTCAGAAGACCATGCTTGGGATGTTTTACAATATGTCATTGAAACATGCGATGTTGTGGCAGTGCATTTGGCACCGCCATGTGGCACATGCAGCAAGGCCAGGGGAATCCCAATGCCAGACGGATCCCCTGGCCCACAGCCGGTTCGGAGCCAAGAATTTCCTTTAGGCCTTCCGGACATTTCTGAACTGGACAAGCTGAAAGTTGATGCAGCAAACCGTTTGTATGAAAGAATGGGAAATTTGTGAAATTTTTGGATGAAAGGGGAATTGCTTGGGTGATTGAAAACCCAACCAACAGTTTGTTGTGGGAGCTGGAATTCTTTGCATATGCAGTTGAACATGGAACGTTTGCACATTGTCATGCTTGCGCCTTTGGGGGTGCCAGACCGAAGAAGACTTCCTTTCTTAGCAATAAGAGCAGTATTTCTTTGATGCAGCGTTTTTGCGAAGATGTCGAACCGCACGTGCATGAACCTTGGGGTTACAATCCTGAACAAGGCTTTGCAACAGCAATGGAAGCCCAATACCCCAATGGCATGTGCGAACAACTTGTACGTGTTTTTGATGAAATTTGTTTGGAAAAAGGAGTCAGAGTGCAGCCTGCTGACTACAAACCTCCGCGTGTCGACAAGCAAGCACGTGGCAGGGCCACTCCACAACTGATTCTGGAATATGAGAAAGTTTGCAGTGTTTTGTTAGATGCAGTACCATCGACAGATGCAAAGCGTTGTTTGTGCGAGCCTTGCAAGCATGTTCCAGCAGGTAGCCGCCTGCTGCGTACCGAGAAGAAGGGAGAGAAGCTTTTGTGTGTTTTTTGGAATTTTTCACCCATGCGAAACCTTTGTCGCCTTGGCCAAGACTTTGTGGCACCCCTTTGACACAGCTGCACATATGCCTGACCACTTGCTGAAATGTTTACATGAGCACCTCACTATGTCACCAGTGGAAATTGTGCGGCTGCGTATACAGAGACTTAAGCTTTGGACCACCTGGGCAACAGAACTTGCAATAGTGGAAAAGGAGTACAAACAGAAGTGCGACCCCAGGGTCAAAGCTGTGCTCGGTGCCAAGCGTTTACTTCTAATGGAAAGGGTTGCAAAAAGTATCAACTGGCCAGACACCACGCTGTTTCAGGAGATGGCCCAAGGTTTTCGTTTGGTGGGACAGGCGACGAAATCAAATGTTTTTCAATCTGGTATCAAAGCGGCTTCAATGAGTGAAGAGCAGTTGATGAAGGATGCCAAGTTTTTGAAGCCAGCGTTACTGGGAAAGATACGGGCGAGCTGTGGAGATGCCCACAGCAAGGAACTTTACGAGCTCACTGAAAGTGAAGCCTTTGATAAAGGTTGGCTGTCTGGTCCTTACACTGCGCTTGAGATGGACGAGCGCTTTTCTGGGCGATGGCTTCCTGTCAGGCGCTTTGCAGTCATCCAAAAGGAAAAGTTGAGGCCCATTGATGACTTGAAGGAAAACCGAGTGAACCAGACTTTCTCGTCAACGGAAAGGGCGTCACTGTATGCCCTGGACCACCTGGTATGGGTTTCAATTTTTCTTGCAAGACTGTATACAGTCGGTGGCGAGTTCAACTTTGAATTGGAGGATGGGACGCGATTGTCTGGGTTTGTTCACAAAGACTGGATAGAAGCGGGCGTTGATTTGAAGGTCACAGCCATGGACTTGAAATCGGCGTACAAACAACTTCCTCTCAGTCCATTAGATTCAGACAAAGCTGTTATTTCCTTGTGGAGCGAAGCGCACCAGGATGTGCGATGCTTCGAGTGTGCTACCCTCCCATTTGGAGCTTCAGCAAGCGTTCACAACTTCTTGAGGGTGAGTGCATTCCTGCAAGCCGCAGGGTGTGCGTTGGGGCTCTTGTGGACGAGTTATTTTGACGATTTCCCTATGGTATCCCATGCGATGCATACCACCTCTACGTTGGCCTGTGCCAAGGGTCTCATGTCTCTTTTTGGTTTCGTTTACTCGGAGGAGAAGCTGGCCCCCTTCGACTACACGGCTGAAATTCTTGGAGTCGTGGTTGACTTGAGCAAAGCGTCGCAGAGAAAGATTTCAATCTCCAACAAACCTTCCAGGGTGGAGGAATTGAACCTTGCTTTAAGGGATATCCTTGAGTCTGGCGTGGTGGTGCCTAACAAGCTACCTTCTGTCTTGGGAAAACTTCAATATGCAGACTCCCACGTGTGGGGGCGAGCTGGCAAGCTGGCCTTGGCTGACTTGAGAGAGCTTGGACACACGGCACCTACGGCCGTACGTTTGGGTGACACTCAGATCAAGGCATTCGAGATTCTTCAAGAAACCTGTACTGCTTTTTACAGATGGTGCCCTTGAGTACGACGCTGGAGAGCCTCATGCAACGATAGGTGCAGTTTGTCTTTTCCCTGATGGGAACCCTGAAGTTTTCGGCAGTGAAGTTCCAAGCGCAGTCTTGGACGTTTGGAGACAAGGTGGGAAGTCCCACGTTATTGGCTTGGTTGAACTCTATGCTTGCGTGGTGGCCTTGCGTCACTGGAAGAAGAGAGTCTCTTCCAGGAGGGTCATCATGTTCGTGGATAACTGGCCTGCATTGGACGTGCTCGTCAAAGGGACGTGACTGGCGCAAACTCTTGCTTGTGTTGGAAGACCCAGCCGAAGACTCTTTCCTTCTTTGGGTGGCGAGGGTTCCGTCGAGTTCCAATGTTGCTGATTTTCCAAGCCGAGGTTCTGTCTTGGAATTGGCCTTTCTAAGGCCGTTTACTTGCGTCAGCCCGAAATGCCCCATGTTAGGCACTGCTCTGTTTGATACCTTGGCTGAAGCAGACTTGGGCGAGAATCCGTTGTGAAAGATATGCCGGGATATGCAATCCCATCTTTCGTTTTCAAATGCGATGGAACAATCAATGATGCAATGCGATGTGGAAATCAATTTACGATTTCATTGGAGATCACCCTTGTCCGCCAACGAGAAGAAAACAGAGTTTGCCTCAGCTGTCGATCGTTCATGTTTTCCGACTGCACTATTTTAAGTTTGTTGGTTTTTGTTTAAGTTTGAGATGGTGTATGTTGTTCTCCCCCCATGCGTAGGATGCGAGAGCGTATGCGACGATGTATATGATTATATATATGTTTGGTATGCACGTTGTTTACATATATGTCTGTATGACGTATATATATATATATTTATGTGATGCACTGTAGGGACAAGGTCGTTTATAAGGTAGCAGTTAGACTTGTCTAATAGCTGTTTATAAACCTGACCTTGCAGCCTTCTTTAGAAGGCGTCCCCCCCCAAAAAAAATTTGCCTTGGGCATTTTCAGATGTCAACCTCAGTGACAATGCTGTTGCCTGAAACCAAATGCATGCTTCCTTTTAAAACAGTTTGACACGTTGAGTATATATATATATATTCACACTACATGCCATGCACGCATATGTACTGTGTATATTCTATGAATCATGTTCACCGGAACTCTCACTCTCAGAATGGGTTATGAATTTAATTCGTGTGGAATTTTACAACTCAAGATGCAGGGTTGGGTAGGGAGTGTCACCTTATGCATAGGTGTTTTTTTTCATGCCCACCCTCTGTACTTTGTACCCGCCCTCATTTGTATTTTTCACACATACCTTAACCCATGGGTGAGAATCCGTTGTGAAAGATATGCCGGGATATGCAATCCCATCTTTCGTTTTCAAATGCGATGGAACAATCAATGATGCAATGCGATGTGGAAATCAATTTACGATTTCATTGGAGATCACCCCGGGGTGAGAATCCGTTGTGAAAGATATGCCGGGATATGCAATCCCATCTTTCGTTTTCAAATGCGATGGAACAATCAATGATGCAATGCGATGTGGAAATCAATTTACGATTTCATTGGAGATCACTCCGGGGCGAGAATCCGTTGTGAAAGATATGCCGGGATATGCAATCCCATCTTTCGTTTTCAAATGCGATGGAACAATCAATGATGCAATGCGATGTGGAAATCAATTTACGATTTCATTGGAGATCACCCTTGTCCGCCAACGAGAAGAAAACAGAGTTTGCCTCAGCTGTCGATCGTTCATGTTTTCCGACTGCACTATTTTAAGTTTGTTGGTTTTTGTTTAAGTTTGAGATGGTGTATGTTGTTCTCCCCCCATGCGTAGGATGCGAGAGCGTATGCGACGATGTATATGATTATATATATGTTTGGTATGCACGTTGTTTACATATATGTCTGTATGACGTATATATATATATATTTATGTGATGCACTGTAGGGACAAGGTCGTTTATAAAAAAGACATATATTACATACTATGTAATTAAGAATATATATATTATATATATATCAAAGGAATCATATTCATCTTTCAACCTTCAATTTTTTGAATTTGTTGAAGCCAAAGTTCGTCAGTAGATTGGACGTTTGGTTTCTGACGGATGACCATCGTATGACTCATTGTTTACTACCCGATTGTATGGCATTTGATACCACATCATAAAACATACAAAATCAAACGAGCAAAATTGTAGCTCAATCTTCTAAGGCACATGTAGAATGCAGAGTTTCGGTTTCAACAGTTTGCCGTTTTGCAATTTGCAAGATGGATTTTGTGTTTGGTTTTGCTTGTCGCATTCAAATTTTCGTTTTTTTCTTTTTTCAAACCGCAAAAATACAAAATTATGAACGAACAAAATCCGTGAATCCAAGTTTATGATTCAAATTTGATGGCTGATGGCATGCGTGTTTGCCTTTCTTGTAAACAAGACTGTTTGAAATCTTGTAAATTCACAAATTGAAATCTGTAAGCTTGAATCCTGGGTCACCTTTGCGCTGGCTGGATTCAGAAAAAACAATGAGGGGAATGCATTTTTCTTTGCAGCAGCGGCTGGCTACGGGCAAAGCCCGTCCTTGTTTTGAGATGTAGGTGCTATAAGCACTTGTCACAGTGAACATATATCTCTTTCGCAGAAAATGAAATTGGAAAATGCGCTCCAACTTCTTTGTCAAAGCCTGGTGTAAAACAACATGAACAAAAAAATGCAAAATCAAACGCATGCAGCTGACTGCAGCGATAGTTGCCGAGCACTTGGAACCAATTTTAAAACAAATTCTTGTTTTTGTTGGTGTAGGAGCGCTAGGTTGCCAGTTTCCCCTTCGTTGGAAGGCAAAACCACATTGTTTTTCGCCAGCAAACTAGTTTTAGTTGAGATACGGCACATAAGACAATGGCATATCCTTGGCCATTAGCTCTGATGCTTGCCGAAGAATTTCAGAAAAATGCAGCACCAAGCCAATGGTCAGCAGCTGACCAACTACAGCCTTTTGCTATGTTAGAGAAAGCTGTTGAAGAAAAGAGGGTCTGGTCATCAGATGCTTTCTGATGTCTTGATCAAGACATGGCGATCCAAAACACAGGATTTCAGCCAGAAGATGGCTACTGAGGAAAAAACGGTTCTGGTCAGGAGCTGGCTACTGAGGAAGCATCGATTTTTGTGAGGAACTGGCTGCTGAGAAAAAATGTTTTTTGGCCAGTAGCTGGCTACTGTGGAAAAAGTGTTTTTGATGGGATTTGAAGAGTAGCTGGTCTATGAGAAACATGGATTTGGGAAAGTAGCTGGCTATCGAGGGAAATGATTGAGGAAACACCGATTTTGGTGAGTAGCTGGCTTTTCAGTAAAGGAATTTTGGTCAGCAGCTGGCTACTGAGGAAAAAAGGTTTTTGGTCAGTAGCTGTCTATTGAAAAACCGTGGATGTGGTCAGTAGCTGGACTGAAGAAATATGGGTTTTCGTCAGTAGCAGGCTACTGAGGAAACTGGACTTGGTCAGTACCTGGCTACTGAGGAAAAATGGATTTTGTTCAGTAGGTGGCTATTGAGAAAACGTGGGTTTTGGTGAGAAGATGGCTGCTGAAGAAACATAGTTTTTGGTCAGTAGCTGGCTACTGGGGAAAAAGAGGTTTGGGCTAGTAGCTGGCTAGCGAGGAACCATGGATTTGGTCAGCTGGCTGGCTGGCACTGAGGAAGCATGGGTTTTGGTAGGGATCTGGCTACTGACAAAAAATGGATTTGGTCAGCATGTGGCCAATGAGGAAGCATGGGTTTGAGCCAGTAGCTGGCTCGTGAAGAAAAGGGGTTTGGGTCAGTAGCTGGCTTCTGGGGAAAAATGGATTTTGGTCAAAAGCTGGCAATTGAGGAAAAATAGATTTCCATCTGGGGCTGGCTATTGAGGAAAAATGAATTTTGGTCAGTAGCGGGCTACTGAAGAAAAATTGATTTTGGTGAGTAGGTGGCTGTTGAGAAAGTGTGGGTTTTGGTGAGAAGTTGGCTGCTGAAGAAACATGAATTTTGGCCACTAGCTGGCTGCTGAGGAAAAAAGATTTTGATCAGGGGCTGGCTACTGAGAAAAAAATGTTTTTGGTCAGCTCAGGAAAAAAAGGTTTTAGTCAGTAGCTGGCTACTGCGGAGCCATGGATTTGGTCAGTAGCTGGCTACTGAGGAAGCATGGATTTTGGTAAGGAGCTGGCTACTGACAAAAAATGGATTTGGTCAGCATGTGGCCAATGAGGAAGCATGGGTTTGAGCCAGTAGCTGGCTCGTGAAGAAAAGGGGTTTGGGTCAGTAGCTGGCTTCTGGGGAAAAATGGATTTTGGTCAAAAGCTGGCAATTGAGGAAACATAGATTTCCATCTGGGGCTGGCTATTGAGGAAAAATGAATTTTGTTTAGTAGCGGGCTACTGAAGAAAAATTGATTTTGGTCAGTAGGTGGCTGTTGAGAAAGTGTGGTTTTTGGTGAAAAGTGTGCTGCTGAAGAAACATGAATTTTGGCCACTAGCTGGCTGCTGAGGGAAAAAAGGTTTGGATCCGTAGCTGGCTACTGAGGAACCATGGATTTGGTCAGTAGCTGGCTACTGAGGAAAAAGAGGTTTGGGTTAGTAGCTGGCTAGCGAGGAACCATGGATTTGGTCAGTAGCTGGCTACTGAGGAAGCATGGGTTTTGGTAAGGAGCTGGCTACTGACAAAAAATGGATTTGGTCAGAAGGTGGCCAATGAGGAAGCATGGGTTTGAGCCAGTAGCTGGCTCGTGAGGAAAAGGGGTTTGGGTCAGTAGCTGGCTTCTGGGGAAAAATGGATTTTGCTCAAAAGCTGGTAATTGAGGAAAAAAATTGATCAGGGGCTGGCTACTGAGGAAAAAAAATGTTTTTGGTCAGTAGCTGGCTACTGAGGAAAAAGAGGTTTGGGTTAGTAGCTGGCTAGCGAGGAACCATGGATTTGGTCAGTAGCTGGCTACTGAGGAAGCATGGGTTTTGGTAAGGAGCTGGCTACTGACAAAATATGGACTTGGTCAGCATGTGGCCAATGAGGAAGCATGGGTTTGAGCCAGTAGCTGGCTCGTGAGGAAAAGGGGTTTGGGTCAGTAGCTGGCTTCTGGGGAAAAATGGATTTTGCTCAAAAGCCGGTAGTTGAGGGAAAAAATTGATCAGGGGCTGGCTACTGAGGAAAAAAAAATGTTTTTGGTCAGTAGCCGGCTACTCAGGAAAAAAAGTTTTGGTCAGTAGCTGGCTACTGCGGAGCCATGGATTTGGTCAGTAGCTGGCTACTGAGGAAAAAGGAGGTTTG